TATTTTATATTTTTGTGTTAAGGTAACTTATATTTATGAAAAAAGATAACTAAGTTAAAAATGTATCATGGTATGCTATAAAAATAATAATTTTTTACTAACATTAATTTCTGTTTCAGTGGAACATGTGTTATTTTCATTGGTTGAACATTGTTTGTATGTCAAAAAATCAGTCATCCATAATGCAGCAGTATTAGCCCAAGCGCCTCCTAAATTTGTTAAGGTATTTAACAAAGTCATATTAGTTCCACCAAATAATGGATCACTTATACGAGCAAAAAATGCCATCACGGCTACAAACATTGAGTACATTGTCAACTATGTAAAAAAACAAAAAATAAATGATTGGTCCAAGTATATAATAAAAGTTATCAGTAATATTATTCTATACCTGATGTAGTAAAAATGAACTCAATACTAATATATAATAGAACATTGAAACATTACCATCTTGGTCAATAAAATATGGTGTAAAGTAAACAATGGCAGCAATGACGATACCAATTAATAATCTAAATTGTAATTTTAATTAACAAATTATTAAATAATTATTGTTATATCATAATATAATATATATGTTTATTTTATATGCTTGTACCTGTATGGTATGGATTTTAAATATATATTCATCGGTTTCGGTCCGGCTGTGTACTTGGTTATCAATACAGGTATAATAATTTGGAGTGGTATCGATAATAGTCCAATTAAAGCAATATCGTCTTTAGGAATACCTTTATCAATAATTTTTAAACTAGAAACAACATCAATTGCACTAAATCCTATCTAAAACAGAGATACATAGTTATTAAAAAATATTAATAAATATTTCTTATAGTATATAAAATTATAGGTATATTATCTTTTTTATGCTTACAGAAATATATTTTTAATTAAACTTTAAATATTAAAACTAATTGCCTAAAAAAAGGATTAAATATGACTCAAAATATGACCCTGGAAATGTGTAATTAAAGGCCTTTTATGCTTTTTTGGTTAATTTATGATCAAAATAGATATGTTTAAAACTTTTACAAAATCATTTTAAATTGGTAAATTATGCAACAAAAAATTTTTGGATTTAAGTTGTAAGTATAATGTAGATATAATGAAACAAATTTGTGGCAAAACAAATGTTAAATATGCAAATGCATAAAATTCCAAGCTCTGCTAATAACGTATAATCTAGATATTTTACTTAATATGATGCTGTATAAACATTTATTAACTTTCAATTTTCTAACAGCAACATAAAAACAAAATGCCTTTTTTTTATACCACAGTAGGATTTAAATAGAAATTTGTACAAAATAACTTATTTTAAAATTGCAAAAAGTACGAAAAACTATGATCACACATTTTTTTGATACTTTTTTTAAAACAGTATAATAGACTTGAAAACAATAAATTGAGTTAGCATATTTAAATTTTACTATAGAATAAAGTATTTTATTTTAATTTATTAATTATTAATTTTATTCTAATTTTGCCCAAAAATAGAAAATTATAATCCTATACTCTGTCCAGCAAGAGAACTAGCGGGTTTTAAGCATCCCTCCTAGTCACCACGCTCATAAAAGTGGTTCCCCTATGGTAGGGTGACGAGTGGGGGAACCAGATTTGATTGGTGCGTGGCACGATCTCTCGCTGGACAGAGTATAGGTAACATTTTAGGTAAAGCTTAAGCATGCACTACACAACTATGTAAATATTATAAAACTATATCTTAGTTTAAATTTTAATAATTATGAACAGAACATAACAAATTAATATTATGCTATATTCAAATCAAAATCAAAATCAAAATTAATTATTAATTATACTATCAATTTTCTAGCGTTTTAAATTTACCTTAGCAGTAAGTAATATTATTGATAAGCTTTTAACGCTTGGTAATCTCATGATATCTCCAAGAAGTTTATATGTTTGATATAAATTTAAATCATGGTTATCATGTTGAGATGATTCTTTTTTTTCATGTTTGAATATAGCTACCAATGTTGTAGCAATCATAAATGTATAACCCCAGAAATATAAAAAACCTAAAAAATAGAAATTCAGAAATCAGTAAAAAAAAAAAAAAATAGTAAAATAGTAGTTATGTATTAATTGCATCTAAATATTTAATATAATAAAAAACATTATAAAGTCAAATGAAATCCACCTGGCTTGTTTTTATGAGGAAAACGTTTTACTATAATTTAAAAATTAATTTAGGATCAAAACTTTGATGCATTAAGGGGATTCAACCCCTTCTATTTTTTTCTACCAAAATAATCTTATCTCATGCAACTGTAAAATATTTCCTACTCTTCGGAAAAACGTCTGAAAATACCTACAACTTTGCCATGAGGTTTTCTTGAAAACAATTAACTAACTATTATAATATTAGATTAATGTGTTATTGATGAGTGCGTACAATGTGCACATAGCGGAACACTCAGATATTAATTTTATACACAGTCACTCACACAAATGATCACTTACAATGCACACACTTACATTACCTCCATGCAAAAGCATAGAAAATTGCCTATATAAAACTCCTTAAAACGTTAGAAATATAAACCCCTTTATTAGTTTACACCCCATAAATAATTCTTTACATACATAAGTTTTTATATTTGAGTTGGTTTGATATATAGATTTTTCTGTTTAAAAAAAGGGAAAATAAGGGATTGTAATATTAATTAAGTAATCACGTTAAATCAAAAAAAAAAAAAAACTGGATTTCATCTGATACTAAATAAACATTATTAATATGAACTAAACTACCCATATAATGTATTTTAAGATTACCTTGTAATGTGATTAAACCCTCTGTACTTTCGGTAAATCGTAACCATTTATTACAAAAAGTAGGTGATTCTAATGTTATAAACACAACATAGCCAAGAAAAGCACCTATTGTCTGACCTACACTATTACATGTTGAGGCATATCCTACATTTTCTCTGTAAATATTGATTAGAATAAATAATTAAAAAATTAAAATCTATGTCAACATGTAAATACCAACTTTCTTAACATTGTCAATGCCCAACCATCGACAGCAATATCTTGTGTAGCTGCTAAGAAGTTCAAACAAAAAAACATTAATGTCAAAAATGTAGTGTTTGGATCTTCTGTAAACACTAGCCAATCATTGATATTCATTGCCAAAAATAACAGAAAAAAACCTGGAACATTAAGCCAATTAAATATATGCAGTATACTTAAAGATATTAAAATCATAAATTTATATTTTTGATATATACATTTACTGTATGTACATCAATAATAAATTACAGTTAAAAAAAAAATATATTTATATAATATATTACTTTACAATTAATTTAAAAAAGGATAAATCATAAGAATTTAATCCTGATAGGAATTATCTTTACTTATTATTTACGTTTTTAATCAAATTTAGATTTGTCTGGATTCATAATAGGTCGAGATGATCAGTAAAGAAATAAATCTTATTAGCATGTTTTGTCCATTGCACCCTATTATACAGCTAGTATGTTATAGTAATTGTTAGGAAACTTTGTACAATCCTAGGACACTGTAAAGCGCCGACTACGATAACAATAAGGTTGGTCAGTAACTTTGAATATACAGGATCAACTGCAAACTTAAAAACTCATAGGTGATTCATAAGGAATGCAGTTTTTAATTTTGCAGAGACACAGTTGATCCTGTATCTTCAAATTTACTGACCAGCCTCGTTATTGTTGTTGCGGTCAGTGCTTTACGGTGTTCAGGGATCATACAGTCACCTTACAGTTACCGCAAAACACTCGCCGTATTTATAATGCGTTTTACATGACAAAACACGTTGCTCGATTGTATACCTCTCCATGACAAATAAACAAAATACACAATGCATAATAGAATAAAGAAGATTAAAAATAGTTGACGCTTATTAAACATTAAAATTTTAATTATTAGAAAAATAGCTCTTTCCTACAAAAAGTTTTCTAACCCCTGCTTTATATTGAATCCACATATTATAAATCTTTGTTTGAAAAACATCAGTTTAAAAAGTTATAATTAACAAAATTATCAATTTTTTTACTGACCAATTAAGTATTGTACAGGAACAAGCCAGGTTTTTCTTCTACCAAACTTTGGCCAAAATATAGAATCAACAATAGGTGCCCATAGTAGTTTTAAACTAAATGGCCATGTAGAAAAGCTAAATTGGGCCTAAAATGGAAAAAAAAATAATTAATACTACAAATAAAATATTATATTATAAATGATTTAACCTGCTCTTTATATGTTATATGTTTCTTCTGCATTGTTATTGGTATAGCTGCTGAAAGTCCGAGTGGTACTCCTTGTAATGTGTACAAAAATAACAAAATTGCTATGTTTAGCCTATCACCAATTGTGCAAGGTACAGCTTTAGGTACATGCGAACCATGTTTCTTTCGTTTTGGACTAAAATTTTCTAGTTTATCTTCAAAAACCATGGTTTTTCTAGGTTTGACTTTACTCATTGTTAACGCCTAAAGTTATAGATGAACAATTTTGTAAACTATAACAGAAATCTATAATTAATTCATGAACAGCAGAACAGTATTACAATACATTTTTGAATACTAATGAAATCAATCATAAATTGATTACTGATGAGTATTACACCTATTGCTATTTTTATATAAGTAATACTAACTCAAGTAGGTAGGTTTAGCCGTATAGGTACATAGATAATGTCATCTAAATAAGTTCTATTACGAATGACATTAATCCACATTTTATTTTGCACATTGTTTTTATTTTACATTTACACAGTTATTACAATTACACTAATTGATAATCAGCACTCAGCCACTTAACAGTTGTCACTGACAACTTGTCAGTTAATAACTATTTTTTTACCTAAATACCTAATAACAAAAAATTAAAATCAACCGTGAATTATCCACGTATAAGAAAATATATATACCGGTTAGCGCATGCGCTTAATGTATATAAGCACAGCGATTATACCAGCAGCTATCCATGGTAACAACACCACTGAGCACACTGTCAAAAACCAAACTCTGTTATCATTTTTGCCGAAAAATGAAGATAAACAATCTTGTATTTCTCAAATTTGTATTTTTTCTAATAGTTATTCTGATTTCTGTGGATTTTCAAAGTTGTTTATTTTTGTTCATACTTAGTAGTGCTTCGCAAAAGATTCTTCGTCTTCGCGATGAGTTGTTGATTATATAATGATTCAGTTTTAATAATTTTTTGTGTTAGTCTTATTTACTTATTATTCTAAATAAATATTGAACAGAGTATAAAAAATGTCTTGTTATGTCCAATATTGTCATGAATGTAACATTGCTATTAGCAAGGCGGAAACAGATACCGATGGAGTAACATATTATCATATCCAAGTGAATGTTGGCGACGTTACATGGAGTGTACAAAAACGATACAAAGAATTTTTGGAACTGCACAAAAAATTAGTGAATGAACATACTGTAACTAAAGATATACTGCCTGGAAAAAAAATAATTGGGAACAAAGAACCGAATTTCATTGAAAGACGTCGAGTTGGCCTGGAAATTTATTTACAAACTGTTTTGTCATTTTTACAAAAGTCAATGCATGAAGAACTATTAGAGTTTTTAGAATTCCACAAGTATGATGTAATATTAATTGTCAAGAAACTAGCTATAGAATTTTTTCAAAATGGGGATGATTACCTTTTGAACGATAATGGTTTTAATTTTAATGTCTTACTATTATATGCAATTAGTGAAAGATTAAAATTACCTTGTCCGGATAGTGAAAATAACGAGTATAATTTTAGCCATGTGTTAGATTTTTGTTCAAAATTTAAATACTTGGCAATTAAGGGAGGAAATCATTATGTTGGTACAAGTAACATAATTTACAATAAATTAAGTTTTGAGCTATCATCTTTTAAGAATGTGAATAAATTTGAATGTTATAATATTGCATATAATATGATATATAATTTAATGACATTACGAAATACAGTACGTATAATTACAGTATACAATTCAAAGCTTAAAACTCCTGAAGATATTTTGTTAAGTGATAATGTTCATAAAGAATGGTCCTCTGACATGGATTCTAGTATGATTTGGAATAAAGTTAAAGTAGTTGATTTCAGTTGGAATGAAATACATACATTAAAAAGTCTCACAGTTTTAACGCCAAATGTTAAAACAATTAATTTAAATGGAAATTTATTGAATACTATTGAAGATCTATCACCTCTTAGTTATCTCAGTCACTTATCACTGTCAAGTAATAATATTACTGAAGTATTCGACCTTCATACAAAACTAGGAAATGTTGTATGTCTAAATCTGTCTTCAAATAAAATTTCTGATTTGAAAGCATTTTCAAAATTATTTTCACTAGAAATGTTGGACTTGGGCTCAAACTTGGTTGAAGATATAGATCAGTTAAAACACCTGAGTGGGTTACAAAATATGAATTATTTAGTTTTGTCTGGAAATCCTGTGTCAACTGTAGTTGATTACAGAATTAAGGTACTAGGTATACTTAAAAAAAGAACTTCAGACTTTTGTTTAGACAATGAGAGACCCACTCAAAAAGAGCTCGATACTGTGGCAATAATGCATGCAATAAAGGTTGCCAAAGAAGGAAAAACATTATTTGATAGATGATTTAGATTGAACAAAAACATTGTTATTAACTACCTAATCTATATTTATTTTTTTGTTATTCCATATTATCGATAATAATCACAAATTAAGATTTTATTTGTGTCTTGTGATAATAATAATATACCTATTGAATTATATTTTTATTTTGTTAATCATTTTTATGTTTTTATTATATTAAAACTGTGTTAAGCTATGAAATATAAAATATCTTTATTGTGAATTTGTGTATCATTTAAAAAAAAATCAAATTGATATACATTCTAAAATGAATTTTTTTTACTCATAACTGTCATAAGTTTGAAAAAAATAACCTAACTTCAAGAAAACTACATACTTATTTAGTCTGCAACTAGTTACAAAGTAAGTACATAAACTAATAAGACTTGAATACCAGATATTTTTTTAAACTTGAACTGGCAATCACAGTTTGTTATCTAAAAACAAACGTGCTTGTATAGTGTATACAACGAGGAGATAAGTAGATTATTAATAGTGATTTTTTTCAAAAATTCTACCGTAAAAAGAATGGCTGAAAAAGTTATTTTATAAATTGAGTATTTGTTCTATTCTGTGATTTGAGTGTTATCTATGTCACTTAGTTATTGTACTTAAAAGTACGGGATATATCTTCACAGATATGCAGGATATTTCTGAAATGGATGAGGTCACTAGTCTAGTTGAAGTATATGAGTACTCAATGTGATGGCCAGATAAAGATATTTTATCCATCATCAAAATTTGGTTTATTCAAATTATATTCGAATATTATCATTATACTATACATGTAATAATATCAAATATGTATAAATAAACATTCAACTATTCTTTTTTTATAGATGTATTTTTTAGCAAAATTCCCACACAAATTAAGGCGTCACATAGAGGTTTCAGATTCCTATGAGAACACTACAAGATAAACAGTAGAGATAGTTATTTATTGCAATTTGATAAACATGACTGATCAACTAACTGTTTTTTTTATATTGTCAACTACTAAAAATATGCACACGTGGACGTGGGTACCGCTTTTTTTGTACAGTAGTTGTCGAGCTTGTACTTGTAATGGATGTGTTATATTTGAACTTAATGATAAATAATTATATACGAAAAACGACACTAATTGGAGACATTGTGTCATCCTAGCATATTTGTAAAAATAATTAAATTTAGTACATAAAAAAAAAAATTAAGTATCTCATTGCTATACATAGTGACTTTCCGGGCTACTATTTTAGTTTGATAAAGGTAGAAAAACTTCTTGGAAGTATTCTCTAAGTAGCATTTTTATACCATCTCAAATGTTGACGAATGGCTTATTTTGACAATTGTTATACTTCTTAACTATTTATATAGGTATTTTGGTATAAACAAAATCGGCTTTCCTAGAAAACTAGTTCTTAAACTTAAACTGTAGATCACGACATCCTAGGGGTACAGTGTTATCAAGTAGTTTTGAAAGCCTTAATTCCATTCCCCACATTTTTTTTTTTATAAAATAGGCTTCTATGCTGTATTCATATTAAAACAATTAAGAAACTGCAGAAAAACGTTGAATAAAAATGACGATTACAGTTTTCAAATATTGAGCAGAATGTGCAAAAACTGATACCTGAAATACGAACTTGCCCCTTGGGTTGGCACTTTGCACAAGGTAATACAAATTAAATATATAAAATAAATAAATATTACATATTTACATAAACCGGTTTCGTGCTGAGAATTGTGCATAGATATAAATATTTCTTTTCGGTTTATGGAATTGTGGACCAAATTCTTATGGCTCAATGGCTGAAAATGATATTCTACTGAAATTTCGTAAAAATGTATATTTATAAATACACAGAAAATAAACATGTAAAAATACAATCAAAATTAAAAAAAATTTTGATATTACACACGAAATATTACTTTATTTAATAAAAAATATATCTTTAGCCTATATGCCCTATAACCTTGGCCGTATCCTAATATTGTTTCCAACATGAGTTAAAAACTTTTCAACTCCTAACTCCTGAACTTTATGAAATGTATTCTGGTAAAGTCGTAAAGATGGTAAAAGCACCCTCTTATAACTAATTCTGGACCAAAAACATAGCCGCTCTGCCGTTGTAATTACTGCTTTTCAAAATCGTGATGTAAAATCCTGGAGTCGGGGAACAAATTTTGTTGTTCACATTTTTCAATAATGGTTTTAACCATAGATTCGTAAATTGAAGTTGTCTAACGAGTAACATTTTAATAAACAATATGCAGCGGTAATAAAAAAATCATTTTTAGGAATTCGTTTACATACAACTGCATAAAATAATTAGGGCTAATATTTCTAGATTAGTGGTTTGGCGTTATATTTTTGATGCTTTCCTTAAGGCTCGGACACATAGAACGCGATCTGTCGCAGCGGGTAGCGGTCCGGTTGTAATTAAATACAGAATTTGACCTTGACCGTCGTGATAATCATATATACATATACATCACGGCCCGTCGCGACAGATCGCGTTCTGTGTGCTCAGGCCTTTAGCCGCTTTAGAGATATGAAATTTTGCTTTCGTGGATGAAAGTACCTAGCCATCTAGGTACTAATTACTTTTTTTGTGACATTTATAAATTACAATTTTTTTTTATTTATACTTTTAATATTATTATGGTAGGCCGCATATTGGGAGATATCCAATTTTAAATTTGGAGGTCTTATTCTCGGACTTTTGTTCGTGGATTCGCTGAATACCAATTACTGAATAGTCTGAAATACCTAACCATGAACCACGTCAAGTCCAAATTTCCAAACATTTCTTATTTTTTTATGAACGGTGATTACGTCACTATCAGTGTCTATCACTATCACTTCTGACCATTATCAAATAACATTAAACAGTACCACCACCAAACGAATAAAAACGTATTTATATTGTGTTTATTTAGCAGTTCATGGGTTGGCAACAGAATTAACGTTGTCAAGTTTCAGCAAAGGTTGTTATTGTTCTTATGAATTTTGGGTAACGGCTTTGTGGTTTGCCCGATTTATGGATTGCACATTGCATTATTGCAATTTAAGATATCTTTGCAGAGTACAGACTCACGGTTAACATTTACGGCTTACTAAATTAACTTAACAATTTTCATACTCGAGTACGTTATTATTTTATTCTATTAATGAATAGTCATTACGTTCACTACATTTTACTTTCCCAGTTTTCGCAGTTAAGTGTCAATTTTACTTGAAAATATCCATTGTGTGGAAGTAAGTAAATTACTGTTTTTAATGCTGTTATTGAATTAAATAGTTTTGGATACATATTTGACGTATATTTATTGAAAGAAATATTGATATAATTTTAGCATCTACCTATCTGGTTTTTGTAATGTTTGACTATTTTATGTTAAACGATTTAATTATATTTGTTATGCAACTCTTTGTATATGCACTGTTACTCTGCATATATTGTGTCCCTAGAAAAGGAGTACACTTAATAACTCATTATCCTTTAAATAATTTACAAGTTTCTTTCGAGACATTCAACTAGACTAATGGATCATACATTTCTATAACTTATAATTGTTATTAATTTATGTATTGCGCATGCACATCATTTTTTTTTTAAAGGCAATCCCTATTTTGAATATCATTTTTAAATTGATCGTTTTTTTTTAATTTTGATCTACTCATACTTATTTAAAACTCAAAATTGGCAAAATTAGAACTAGGTTCAATTGAAATGAATAAAATTACTACATTTTTTTTTTTTAATTGTACCTATTTTTCCTTCTATAATAAACTCAAAACGTATTATGATTAAAATTTAATAATAAATTAGGTTATTAGTTAGGTATTAACGCTTTTATAAATCTTTTTATAAACTAATTTTTTTCATAAAACAATTTTTTTATCATTCTTTTTCAAATTCCAAAGAATATTATTCAATGTATTTAGATATTAGAAAGTTATGTTTTGGACTAGTTGTTACTCGTTAATTAGTTATAACTTATAAGTACTTAAAGCTTATACCCAAGGAGAAGTGGACCAAATTTCTACTCAGCTTTTCTAAAATTAAATTGTCATGAGTCGAAGTACTCAAGAAAATATTCTGATTTGGAATAAGAAATTAAAAATGTACATTTTTATAATAAAAAAAAGTATTAACCCTTAAAATTAACAAAATATATAATTTTTCTCAAAAAAAGTTGTTTTGTAACAACTTTATATAATAAAAAAAAATGTTAAGACAAATATTAATAGTTTCTGAAATAGGTAATGAGTGTTTTTGATAATATAATTATTGGGTATTGCAACCGTTTAGATGATATTCAGCAGTTATTAAATAATTGTTATTTTTTTTTTTATATTACAGATTAATTTACTTAATAATTATGGCTAACCTGTCGATAGCAATGGAAAAGAAAAAATCTAACCGTCGCTGCAAACTGTCTATTGGAGATGAAGAAAATTTTGAACCCCCAATACAATCATCAACTCCGTCCAAAATGTCTAAAAAGCATTCAAAAAGAATTCTCAAGGATAATAATTCATTAAACATAAGTGTCATTAATAAACACTATCAAAACAAAACAATAAATGTAACTGAAACTGATTGCCAACAGTACAAACCTATATTACCTGTTATAGAAGAAAATATTAAGTATGGTCGAGTTCCAGAACTTTTTTACAGTGATCCAGAAGATGAACCTACTGAGACTGAAAATGAAACTGCCACAACAACTAATGATTCTGACGATAAATGGACCACTTTTTCTGATGTTTCTGAAGATAGAAGCTGTAGTAATGTTACAGATTTGCTAGCCGAAATTGAAGCTGATGTAGATATCAGATTTAAAAAACCACCAAGGCGATCGTATCCTGGAAGAAAAAGAAACAATATAAGTTTGTTTGAAGATAAAGAAGAAGAAGAAATAGATGTACAAATACAAAAAAAATGTAAAAAACATAGGCAAAAGAAAAAGGATCCACAGGAAGAGGCATTTGTCCAATCAATGAACGAGCATTTTGGAGATATTGAATCATTTAATTTAGCAGTGGAATAGTGTGATATAACACATGAATGAAATCGAAAAAGAAGTAAATAATTACATACTGAGTCTGAATTTAATATTTAAAGATTTTCCAAAATTTGAGAAAATGTATTATTGTAATTTATATTTATATATATTATTAAATGTTTTATGTTGTATAAATGTTTTTCTAAATCTTTGTACTAAAACCAATCTTATAACTTTATTAATTTGTTTATTAGGTTTAAGATTAATTATAATCAATTAGAAGTAACTAATTATTGTTTATTCTAATGATATGTAATATTATTAAGTCACTGTTCTACACATCTATTTACTTTTATAGTATTTGTGTCTTTTTTTTTTTTGTTATTGTATGTTCTGTGGAAAACCACAAATTACTGAAAACCCTTACTGAATTTACTATATTTGTCTGAAGTATACTAATGTTAAGTCAAGAGAACTAATGATTATCTTCCAAATAATTATAATCATAACTATTCAATTTAGTGCTTGCTATATATGTCTGATTTGTAGCCTTCAGTATTTTGTCTTCACAATTATATTGGTCTGGATTAAAAATTATCAATAAACTATCATATAGTAATATAATACATACTTATTATTTACATTACCTACAGTTAAATTTTGTTTCTGGATATCTATTTAAAAGTCTGGGTTTCAATATAAAATTAGAGCCTAGTTATAGAAAATATTTCTATGATTAAAATATTAGCTCAACAATAAGATAGTTGTGTATAGATTTTGATATATCCCAAGTATGTCTGTAATGTTGTCGATAATGTACTTTACAATGGTACTTATTATAATTACCAAATTTAAATTAGTCAAAGAATAAAAATATAAGTCGAGTTCAAAAATATAAGAATAAATATAAATCTAATTATACAAATTCATATCAAGCCATGTTTTCTTAAACAATAACCTATAATGCTCCTGTTTTCAACTCGTTATCACTAACTTTTTTACTTAAATGTTCAAATTTTTTATTTATTCTGATATCTGATACCTAGGTTGTTTTATTCTTGTGGTTTCCATTTAATTTTATGCTACTTTTGCTTTATCCACCCCCACTTGAGAAATTTTAGTATCAGTTATTGTCTGATGCTACTTAATGTTCTAATCTTCAAAAGCATTATTTGTGATGTCTTACTATTTTACTATTTTTACCTAGTAAAATGGAATTGTATTTTTTTGTATTCTTAATTGTAACTGTAGGTATAGGTATAATCGTATAAACCATAAGGAAATAAGAACAATAATCAAAAACAATATTTATATTTTATTTATTTATTTATACGGACAAAAGTCCAATTCATAATATATTTGTGAAGATAACAATAATATAATATAATTTAAAATAGTAAAATATAACATAATACAAAATGAAAAGATTAATATAACGAATAATAGTAGTAATAATTATATACAAAATTTAAATTTTCTTAGTTATATTATTTATAATTTTGGATTCTTTTTTTCTTAATTTCTATATTCATAACTAATATATTATTATATGTAAATAAAACGAATTATAGTATAGGGATTTTAGACTACTAACACCATTTTGCACACATAAGTGTATAAAATCTATTCACAACTAAATCTAATAACATTCAGACCGTTCAGTCTTATAAATTTTCATAACTAGTGCTTTACTATTTGAACTTATGGCAACCCTCAGTCATAGAAAACAAACATGTTTGCTTGGAAATATCCTAATTTGGATAAAACTCATTAAATACTGTATATATGCGGAAAACAAATTAATAATCATGAATTATGAAGAAAAAAATGAGCCCAACAACTGACAAAATAATAACTATAGATAGTAATTAGACTTGTTGTGGCCTTTCTTTTCATATATATTACCCTGATGGCCTGATGGGTGTTTAAAAGACATTTTTTTTTATTTAGATTAATGCTTCAATTATTCAAGTCATTAGTCTGGTACTGTGTGGGGAGAACGGTTGGTTGGCATACGTTTGTTTGTGTAACAAAGATTTATTGCTGAAAACCAGGGTGGTTAGTGGTTACTGGTTACTGGTTACTCATACGAATGTTAGCAACGAGGGTCGGTACGTACTTAGAGCGTTGCCGCAGATTTAACATAGATCTAAAAGAAAATTATTTGCTTGTTTTATTGGAAACATTAATAATGTTTGATTAGACTTTATTATTATTATTTTTTTTAAATATTTATTATTATTATTTTTAAATATTTATTATTATTGTACCAGCGATAACGGTTTTTTTATTTTTTTATTTTAGCTTTAAGTAACAAAATGACGATTTTATAACATAGAATAATAAAGCAAAAATAAACAAATTATTTAAAACCAGTTTCTTCCGTAGTGATGTACGCACGTCTGCACTTAAGATATGGTACACGGTACACCTAGGTTTTTCCGGGAGAGTCGATGTTTACCTAAATTTTTTTTGAATCGACAATTAGTGCGCAACCACATTTTCTCGGGCCTCGACGAACGGAGTGGCGAAGACCTAAAAATATGTAATTATTATATCAACTATATTGAACACTGCGGTAATGTACTTATTTTGCCTATACTATACGCCGTGCAATATTTTATGTTGTCGCAAAGTATTTATTTTAATTTTAAATAAGTAAACAATCTGTACCAGATGACACAATAAGCATATAGGCTCAGAGTAGGACTAGACATGACCACAATTTGCCAGAGTGGGGGAGTGGTATTGAGGGTTAGCATTACAGACGAGTAATCAGAGTTTAAATCTAAGATGTGTAGTGGTGTAGTCAAGCCCGGATTAAGATAATTTTGGGCCCGGGGCCAAACAATTTTAGGGGCCCATATCCATAATCAAAATTTTGGTGACCCACAAATAAAAATATTTCAGAAAAAAAAATATATTCATCAATTTATTTCTTATTTTTTTTTTAAATACAAAAATAAAAATGTTATTAAAAATATTTTTTTCTAGATTTTTGGGCAGCAAACTCTTTAATTATATCATCGGTATTAATTACTTCCAAAACATCACTCTCTGAACACAAAACCATAAAACTATTTAAATTTTCTTGTTATTTTATTGCACTTAACAGCAGATGTCATTAAAAGATCTTCTTTCTTCTTTTTTCTCTTCTGAGCACCGCTTAAATATTTTTTACAGCCACTCATATTCGATTTTTACTTCAAATTTCAATAATATAAGTTATAAGTTGTATTTGTAAAATAAAACACTAACACTAACCACTGTTAAACGTTAAACGTTATTATGACTTCGACTGAAGACTATACAAGAGACAAGACTTGTTTCAGTATTGTTTTCGTAGAAAAATAACATAAATAGAATTTGTTTGGTTAATAAATAATAATTATTGAGGAATATGTTTTATCATCAAAAACAGTTTGATAACTAAATCTATTATTAGTAATGATGTTTCAACCGTCGTAAATCGTAATCGACGGTATTCACTGTAGTACTGTATTCGTGATTCCTATAATTCCATTGCATTATCATTATCATCCTGCTAAAAATAGACGATAGTCGGTAGCATAATAATAACATAGGTGATATCCATATTCCATATCCATTATCAATATAGTATTTAGCCCACCACAGAGTACACTATGTATAGGCGTATAGCTTATAGGAAACGTTAATGTATAATAATAATAATGATATAAGTTTATATTATTATTTATTATCATTGCAAATCTTTGTATTTTATCGCATATAATATATTATATTTTACATGTTTCTTTTGAGTTTTGATTTACGAAATAAACTATTATTACTATATCCAAATATTTCTGATTTAATAAAAAAAGTACTATTCGCCAGGGGCCCACTTTTGTTTAATATCCGTGGGCCCAGGGCCATGGCCCCTCCTGGCCCCCCCCCTTAATCCGGGCTTGGGTGTAGTGAAGACAATTCGGAATTGTTGAAACAAAGATGTCCAGTATATCTGGATTTTTTTAGTGGTGGTTGGCCAGTATGTTAGTCCAGGAGGGGCAAGAACTTTGAAATGTTTGGAGATAGCAAAGTTGTAAAGGACTAAACCCTGAGGATTATTAGTGCGGCATCCCCATGACTGGTGCTGGGTATTGAAATCGCTGCCTATAATAAAATTGTTTTTAAATGTGTCAAAGTATTCAGAAAATTTTGAGTTTGTAATATTGTGTTTAGGAGGGGAGTATAATGCAGCAATAGAGATAAGAATGTTGTTAAGGTTAAGTAAAATAGCACAGGATTGAATATAATCATGAGTCATGACTAAAGCTAGGAAGTGGTTTAAATATTATTGACGATTTAATATAGATAGCAACACCGCCATGTGCGGTGTTGTCAGAATGGTTTGTTTTAATCAGTTTGTAGCCTGGAATATGGGTAAAAGTATACTTAGTGAAATGCGTTTCAGTAATTAGGGTGATGTCTTTACGTTTATTGTTTAGGACAGTTTCAAGTTCATGAACGTGGTTTTTTAGGCCATTTGCATTGAATAGGCATATTAATAATGTTTTATCGGTGACTAAATCATTTTTGTTGTCATTAAACATTTTATTTATTTAATAGGTTGGATAGAATAGAAATTGCTTTGATAAGAATTTCCATAAGTGGGTTAATAATAGTTTTAAAGTCGGCAAGAAAGCCTGTTAGCATTTTATTTATGTCTGGGACATGTTCTGTACTAGTAGGGGGTAATGTGTGATCGGTGAGAGTATTTTACGTAGCCTGAGTGTTAGTTTGTGTTTGAGGTGGTTGTTGTTGACCAGAATTGTTTTTAGATGGGTGATTTCCTTGTACATTTAAAGGTTTAGGAAAGGTATTAACATGCAAAAAATTACTTGTTGAATTGAGTCGTTTTTTTCGTTAAAGATTCATGACCAGTCTCCGTAGTTAGCAGGATGATAGCCAGAGAGCGCATTTTGGAGGGACGTCGCGTGAATTGGGACAGTCAGGTGACAGATGATAGTCGCTGCATCGAACACATCTGGGTTGGTAACCACAATAAGCTTTGGTGTGCCCGTATTATTGGCAGTTATAACATTGACTTATTGTTTTTGGATTGTGCAGTTCTGATTTTGATTTTTGTGTTGAGAAAGGAGGTCAGTTGAAATATTTCTTTTGACCTATGTGTTGGTTCGAGGTCGACAAAGAACAGAAGGAGGCGAATTTTGTTCACTCTATGTAGAACGTTGGTGACTTGTCTTACTTCAAATAGGCGTATTTGAAGTTCGTCTTTGATTAGGTATTTAGGTCTAGTGGTGTGGAGGGGTGAAAGTTGCGGATAACTACTCTAAGTGGTTTGTCTTCTTTTAACTGGTAAGTATGGAACTCAGTTTCTTCTGCTTTGAGGTGATGAATAAGGGCTCTGTATGCCGCTGGGCTTGAAGTTTGAATTTTTAAACTATTATTTGATGACTTGCAGATAAAGTTATCGACGCTTATTTCTTCGATTAGAGCCGAGCAAAGAGCAGGGAAATCTATCACGTTTATAATAAAGATTGAAGGAGGGGGTTTGAATACTTCATCGACTTCGTCAGTTTCAACACAATCCTGAGAATTAGCCTCATTTGACAGTTTTTGAGAAGGTTCATCTTGAGCAA